CAATACCTTGCCTTTGGGTGAACATTTTCTACAATTGCCAAATAGAGGTGGATTTAGGGGAGCAGGATTGCTTTGGTGGCACTAGGTGTGGAGCCTTGGGGGAGCCAGAAGGGAACATCATAAATAAGATTTAGAATGGAGTGTGAGAGGCAGAGGTGCCAAATTTTAGCATCACACAGGGTGCTGCTGAAATTTGAGATCCAGACACTAGCTCTCTAGACCTGACAACCTGGACAGGCTGACAAAGGGAGGAGTGTGTCCACCGCCCACCGCCCACAATAGCTGGGTTCCAAGTAATTTACCTGCTGCTTTGAAGGCAGTCTTTAGGAGAAGAAAGGGCTAAAGAGTAAGCTCTACACAAATCTGGAGTGGAGTCCAGTTGAATGGTGTCTTGTACACCTCTTTCCAGCAAGCTCTGCAGTCAAGCTGGTGCCAAATGTTTTGCTCCACTTTCCTTTGGACCACATCAGTAAGTCCTTGTCATCTGGGCAGCCCAGGACCTCCAGACACACTGCTCAGGCTTACACCCCTGGGAAGTCACTTTGGAACTGCTAAAGCAGGAAAAACAACACAGGAAGCAGCCACAGCAGGCGCTGTGATTCTCCAGTGGTTTAACTTCACCCCACCCAGAGGTGTACTCCATTGTATCTCGAGACAGACAGATGCCAACAAGTTCAGAAATTAGCAGCTTATATTTAGCCCAGAAGCAAATAGGTAGCCAATGTAGATTTTAAAATCATTTTTGAGTTATATATATAATAATGTAATAATAATTTATTATTTATACCCCGTCCATCTGGCTGGGTTTCCCCAGCCACTCTGGGTGGCTCCCAAACAAATATTAAAAACAAATATAGTGGTACATCTGGTTACGAACTTAATTTGTTCTGGAGGTCCATTCTTAACCTGAAACTGTTCTTAACTTTAGCCAATGGGGCCTCCCGCTGCTGCTGCACTGCGCAGCTGCGCAATTTCTGTTCTCATCCTGGGGCAAAGTTCTTAACCCGAGGTACTACTTCCGAATTAGCGGAGTCTGTAACCTGAGATGATTGTAACCCAGGGTGTTTGTAGCCCGAGGTACCACTGTACTGCATTAAACATTAAAAACATTTCCTAAACAGGGCTGCCTTCAGATGTCTTTTAAAAGTAGGATAGTTACTTATTTCCTTGACATCTGATGAGAGGGCGTTGACTCACTGCCCCAGTCAAAACGCAATATCAACAGTCTATATGCAGCTGTATTCTGCAATAATTGTAGCTTTTGGACCATTTTAAGGGTAGTACTCGTTTATTTAAATTCTCTCCATTTGTAACTCTACATTGCCTTTCTTAAGTGAAATAATCACATAGCCAAATCAGGCTGGCTGCATGGAATCCTGTTCATTACATCATTACTAACTGAGTGAAGCTATGGATGAGATTATTCCAGAAAGGAAAAGGGAGCAGCAAGTCAAGAGGAAAATGGTGCTAAATCAGTAATCAGGGAAAATTGTGGCGCTGCATTTGGGTGGAAAAGAGGAAAGAGTTGTTGTACCTTTATTAGTGGTGTGGAAGAAGGAATTTCAGGAGGTGAACCAGTATGCAAACTGAAATGCAGCTATTCTTCAAAACTTGACTCTGAATTTTGTGATACAGCTGTCTACCAATAAACATGTCAAAAAATGTGTACATTAGCAGGAGATTCAAAGAAAAATGTGTGTATTCCAGAGAAATGCAGCAATCACAAGGTTCCCTTTGTATCTGTAGCATTTAGGAGCAGCCTGATCTGTTTTGGATGCATTCTGTGTCACTCTGATTAGATTCGCTATTCAGGAACAAATCTGATAATGCTAAATCGAAAAATCTTTTTTTGCCCCGACTGACAATAATGGTACATTCCTTATATCTGGGATGGTCCTCCTCTTCCATGGAGCACTCAACTTTGGGAGGGATACACATGGAGAGGTGAGGGAGGATGAGGACACCTGCCTACCCAGCCAGATCAAAAATTGGCTATAATTCCTCCCCTCCCCCTTTGCACATAAGTGGAGGAAATATGTAAGAAAAGGAACCCCTCAATAATGAAATTAAACTTCCCAAATTTTATATACGAGCATGGCATCTTCCAAAGCAATCCTTGAAATTATTGTTTTAACTTGATGAGGTTGATGAGAATTGTCCATTATAAATTCCTAACCACTCTCAAAGAACTAGTTTCTAGGGTTCTCTTGGGTGAAGAAATGTCCATTAATCCACTTTTACTTCACAGTGTAAACATCTTTAGTCATTGCATAACAGCTCTTGAATAACATTCTATGATCCATGTAGGATTGAGATTACACATAAAAGTATGCTCAGTACGCTCAGCTATTTAATTTGCCAGTTTACAAAATGTGGGACAAAATATATTAGTGAGTTTATAAGTTAATTTCATCTTTTTTTCAATTCCATACCCAGAAATTAAAATTCTGTAAATTTTCAACCCATAGCTTTAGAGAGGTAGTCCACCCATTCCAAAATGTACTAGCATTGCTGTTATTCTATATCTAGCACATTGCATATTATAAATTTCTTTTATCAGTGTGTTCCTTTGATGTATAATGAAGCTTTGAGCATATTCCTCCACCGGAAAAGCTGAATTAATGAATCACAAAATTACATAACCTGGACTGGAAACCTCCCCCCCCCCCCCTTAATATCTTCAGTAAAACATGCAAAATATCCCACAGTGCTACATTTGCATTAAAATTTATTTTAGGCAATCTGTAAATCAGTGGCAACTCTACACGCAATATTCCAAATGGATGTTACCACACACACACACACACACACACAGACATTATTGACATATAACTAGCTGGTACAATGCAATATGGAAAGCATTTGTGCTGCATTTAAGATGCATCTTAATCGTGATATTACAGTTAGGGAAATCTACTTGATTTGGTGGGAACATGATTACTGAAAGAAAAATTGTTTTACCCCTCACCACCACAAAATTACTGATCATATGTTGGCTGCTCTAGAACAGTGTGCATGAATTATGGATGAATTGGGGGTGAATCAGTCTCCTACAAAAGAATTTCTGTTGGCTTTCTGTCTTAATTATTGTTGCTGGCACCGCTCAACCCTGCAGGAAGCAGGATTTAACCCCAGCTGATCAGCCGATGTGGGGTGGGTCCAATCCTCCTTGGTTTGACTGGGTGTGTGAAAATCCTGCAGGGGGCTTCCAAATTGAGCTCAACCATTCAGAAAGCAGGATTTAACTCTGATAGGTGGGAGTGTGCACGTGTTCAATCCTGCTTGGTGGACTGAGTGCCCATGTTCCTCTGCTCAACCATGCAATATAAAGGAGGTGCCCAAACAATTTTTAAAAACAACCTCATCAATTGTGCACTGTTTTCCAGCTTTTATACAGCACTGTTGTGAGCCCAATTGCTCAATTGAGTCACGTTCCTGATCATAGATGAACACAAGAACTACAGCAATTTCTGCTTCTGTGTCCATTTGCAGAGGATTTCCCTGACACAGCTTGTTCTCATATCACAAATAGGTATTTAAAGGGGGAGGAATTCCTCAAGACTCCTTTGATTGTAAGAACATTCACATTTTCCAAACCTCTTCAGTGCCTCAGTTTCCTTCAGTTGCTACAGTGTTGTCATCCGCCTGCACAACCTGGGTTCTTACTCTTTTGATTTATTTCCAGAATTAGTCAGACTGGGAGGGGGGATCCCAACCACACAGGGATCAAGTAGTGAATGGGATGGCATCACTGTAATGCACAGCTAATCAACCTTGACTGTTTAATTGAGTTCTTTTGACCTCCATGACACTAAGTGAGAGACAGAAAAAATGGCTAGGCAAGTAAATGTAAAAATATTTTCACAAGTTTTTTTTTAAAAAAATGTCAAACTTTTTACCAAACTTTGGTAAAAATGTTTTTTAAAAAACCAAAACAATGAATACTTCTTGAGTCAGTTGTACAAGTTAAGAGCTGCTTTTACCTCTTCTTAAAAAAAAAAAAAGTGAAATCTTCCTTCCTTTACTCTGGAGATGAAGCTATGAGGAGACTCAGAACAACAAAGGAAAAGTATGTTTAATAAAGATAAGCCAAGTCGAAGAATCTGCAAAGTTGAGTACAGAAAGTAATATTAGCTAATGGAGGCATGTTGAACTGTCCTTTAATAAAACATGGAATCTGTCATTGAGAAAGTCTTGACTTGCTTTGCCCGAGTCTGTCTTTCTTTCCATGGAAAATTGATGGATAAGGAGGGAATATTTTTAACTATGTATTTCAGATCTTCAAAGACAACTCATGAACATGACATTGCATTGTAAAATCCCTGGAACTATAGATTGGATTGCATTTTAGAATTTTCAAAGTGAAATTTAACCCATTTGAACTTTAAGAGGAGAAAACTTCAGGGCATATGGACTGTGCAGGAACTCACAGTATGTGTGATGTCATATGTTATCTGGGCCATTCGCATGGACATTCATATATCTGTACATTATTATGATTTGTTAAATTTGTTAGTTGCTTGATTTTGCCCAGGGCAACCCAAAGTGACTTACAAACCAGATAGACAATAAACCACACAGATACATTAAAACAAAGAGGAAAGAGAAATACATGAAAAAGGCCAAATATAGTTAAAGGCTAAAGGCCTGGTTATGGAGGAAGGTCTTTGCCTGACGCCTAAAGATGTGTAGTGAAGGTGAGCATTCAACAAATGGAGAACCACCACAGAGAAGGCCCATTCTGGTGTTGCCTGCAGCTGTGACTGCCTCTTATCCGAGGGCAAAGCAGCATAGGGATGGAATGTTGCATAATGGCCAGAGGGCATTCCTCACCACTTCTACAAAAATCCAGGCTGCTTGAAAGGCACTAAATAATTGCACTAGCGGAAGCCAGCTCAATGATTCCCACTTGTGCAATGGGGTTTCCACCTTCTTCTCACAGCCCCCTTTTGTCCCCTAAAGCCAGCTGGGGCAGGCAGAACCCCCAGAACAGCTAACAGGGGGAGGGTAGATTGTTCCACCTGGCAAGAAGAAATGGTTACGCTGATGGAATGGTTGTATTAGCTTTATGTTGAATTCCACCGTTTGTTACCATCTGTGACCCAAATGCAGCAAGCATCCTAGCTGTGGTTTCTGAGCTGCATTCCTGGGAGTTCCTCTGTGAAATGATCAGCAGTGACAGACAGCTTCCTTAAAATATAGCTTGCTACTAGGAGTGCAGAATTACTATTGGAAGAAAGAACCCGCCCAGTCAGGCTTGGAAAAAAGATTTTAAAACAAACAAACTTGGGCAATATCTTGGTTTATTCCAAGTCTGATTCTGAGCCCAATTTCAATCTCTGATGATGTCATAAGGAATGTAACAGGATCTGTTCTGTTCCTGAACACACCCCCACCCACATATGAGCTCACAGACAGTCAGAATTATACTAACATTGCTATGACAGTCATTGGTTCTCTTGACACTTGCCTGTCTTGGCATAAAAGAGCAAGCCAGGAAGGGCTGGTCAGGGGAGTGCAGACAGTCAAGACTGCCTCATTGGAGGAAGCTATAAACTCCTATAATCAATCTAAAAGTGGTGGAGAGGGTACATATTCTCTTTAAGGGGACCTACCTGGATTCTGAGGTTTTAGATAACTACCACCCATTATTGACTCTCTGCACTTGCCCAGCCAATGCTCCCCTGATTTGCCCTTTTTTATATAAGCAAACATTTTCCATTATCTTCCACCCTGAGCCATATGATCTGTGGAGGAGACCCTACTCGTGCTTCTGCCTATGGCTGTGGTTTGCAATTCAGTGACCTGGGATAGGACCTTATTTTCTGTGGCACCCTGGTTGTAGAACCCTCTTCTGTTCAAAAGACTGCCCTCGTGTTACCAGGCATTCATCATCAGGGGATGATGTTACTGCTCCTTCAGAAAGCGAGCTGAGAATGTTCTGCTTTGTCTTGATTTTTAGTTGTGTGTGTGTACACGCACACACATATACACACACACAATTGTAAGGAATACACACAATTGTGTGTATTCCTTACAGTTTGCTGACCTGGGATCTCCTTGGGATGAAGGGTGGTTTAAAAACATAACAGAGGGATAGAACATATTAGAATATATGCTAATTCACCATGAATACATTGTGCAGGGGTATTCTGAAGGCTGCGTATCTCTCATCCATAATGCACATAATTTCCCTCCTGTCTGTAATAGATAAGGATCTGCAGAGCTCCCTTGAGAAATGTCACTTAACTGAAACTATTTTTGCTTCCCTTGAAATTCCTTGGAAGTCCCTTCATGAAGAATGAGGCTTTGAGGCTGCAGGAATTTGTTGCACAGAAGATAAATGGGACTCACCTTCTCTGTATCAGAACCCACTTCTTTGCAGTGAAGTTGTTCCAGTGTCAGAATTGCTGCTGCTGCTGCGAGGAAATCTCATAGAAGAGGTGGGACAGGGAGGAATAAATTGAGCACAAAAAAAGACACTCACCTTGGGGATACAAAAACTTTGAATGGGTGGTGTTCCAACATCATCAAGTGTTAGGGGAAGAAGTATTTTGAGATGCCTGGTCCTTGACTCTCAGCTTGCAAGTAAGGGCTTCAGCCAACCTGAGATTTATACATGTGCACACAGAAGATCCCATGTCCAATCCTTAATGTTTCCAGTTAAAGAAGATCTGATTGCAGGACTGGGGTAGATCTCTGCCTGAAACCTTTGAGAGCTGCTTCCAAAGTAGGCAATATTGAATCAGATGGACCAGAATTTTGACTCAGGGTGAGACAGTTTCATATGCTTGTTTCATTAGCCTTTTGTGACCTCACACACGGGTGGGTAGAGATGTGATTGCCTAGGTAATATTTGTGTACCTTACTTATGGAGGTTTTCCCAGAAAAGGATTGAGCTGTTTGGTCCTCAGAGAATTCTGCTAAGTTACATTTTTCAAGAAGATAAAGTGTTTTCTATGTTTTGATCAGGAGCCTCAAGCATATCACCGTAAGTAAGGTTAAGTGTATTAACACAATAGTTGCATGGAAAACTTGCCTTTGTAACTGTATGTGAAGACTCACAAATGTCACTGGATCTGCAGCTTGGGCTAAGATGATGATGATGCTAATAATTTTGTACCCTGCCCCATTCCGGGTGGCTTCCAACAGAATATAAGAAAACATGATGATGGTGGTGATGGTGGTAGTGGTGGTGGTGGTGATGATGATGATGATGATGATAATGATAATGATGTTGTTGATGTTGTTGTTGTCAATACCCTGCTCATCTGATTGGGTTGCCCCAGCTACTCTGGGCAGTTTCCAGCATATATAAAAACATAGTAAAACATTAAACCTTAAAAAGCTTCCCTATACAGGACTGCCTTCAGGTCATAGCTGTCAACTTTTCCCTTTTCTTGCAAGGAATCCTATTCAGAATAAGGGGATTTCCCTTAAAAAAGGGAAAACGTTGACAGCTATGTTTCAGATGTCTCCTAAAGGTTATATAATTACTCATCTCCTTGACATCTGATGGGAGGACATTCCACAGGGTGGGCACAGCTACGGAGAAGGCCCTATGCCTGGTTCACTTCTTGCAATGAGAGAACCACCAAATGTTATCTGAAAGGTAACTGCATTCTGATCCATCCACATCTAGGAGGTGTGGATCACACCAGTTTTGTATGAGAATTTGCTAGGGACAAATCCCTCGATGATCCCCAGTTCCCAAGCAGTCTCCCATCTGACTGGCCCGTACCCCTACCCATGATTGCCTATACTAGCTATGAGAACTAAAGCTCACTATTAGCTGAGAGTCTTCATTGCACCTATTCTTCCATAGGAGGACTGCAAGTGAATCACTAATGGCCTGAGAGGTCACCAACTGTGTTTGTCATGTGCTTAGCTGGACAGAGAACAGTGTCTTGGGCAATTTATTTGTATTGTATATTTGCAGGCTCTGGGGCACACCCATCAGTAGTTTAATTGGAAATGGACTTGACTCATTGTCTATCTTATGGCAGGCACATGGCTTTATAGAAACGCCTTGGCCAGTAACAATACAAATAAAGTCAAAGGTAATTCTTATCAGTTACCCTGTTCAATAGTTTGTGACTGCCATTAGTTTTTATTACACAGAGAAGTCACTTTGGAAGACTGCCTATATATCTTGTAAATGTGAGGCAGCTCCCTGCCTTGCATGTTGATTTGGTGGCCTTGGTTGCTGTCTATTCTCATTGCTTCTTTCTTTCTTGGTCACTTTGGTGTGTTACACAAATCAAGGGGCGGGTGCCTTTTGATTTTGTTTCCCGACTCCCCACTGCTCTGCTGGAAACCAAGGACTAAAATTCTAAATTAAAATTCTAAACCAAGCCTTATGAGGAACAGTTGAAGGAACTGGATATGTTTAGCCTGGAAAGGAGGAGACTGAGAAGAAATATGATAGCCATCTTCAAATATATCAAGGGCTGTCACAGGGAGGAGGGAACAAGCTTGTTTTCTTTTGTTCTGGAGGGTAGGGCTTTGACTTACAATAAAGTAGATTCCGAATGAGCATCGAGAAGAACTTTCTGACAATAAGAGCTGTTTGGCAGTGGAACAGATTCCCTCAGGAGTTGTGGACTCTTCTTTCTTGGAGGATAGTAAGCAGAGGTTGGGTAGCAATCTGTCATGGATGCTGTAGCTGAGATACCTGCATTGCAGCCGGTTGGACAAGATGACCCTCGGGATCCCTTCCAACTCGACAATTTATGATACTATGATTCTATGAAATCTCCTGACTGATGAGGAAAGAATGTGTTTTTAAGATATAAACCTTGATACATGGGGCATTTCCATTCACCAATCTTTTGTATTTGGCATGGGGCAGTGGCTGTCAAACCTTGGCTTTCAGGGAACACCTCTCATATTGAGTTGTTGGCCAAGGAGCTCCTGTGCATCCATCACAGAAATGTGGATTCTGGGAGATGCTTCAGGGCACATTGCCATACATTGTTGAGTGGGCCTTCCTGGGACCACAGGTGGACTAAAAGTATGCTCTCAACAACTGTACATTGGGGAAGATAAGAATTGGCATGGCAAGCTGGCACGAAGCTTGTCCTCCTTTATTAATTTATTGCAAATTATGAATGACTTCCCCTCAAGAATTGCAAGATGATATAACAACAAAAACATACCGTATTGGCCTGAATATAAGCCTCACCCCCCCCCTCAATTCTGACCATGAAAGGTTAAAGTGTGGCTTAAATTTGCGACCTTACAAAAATGGGCTTTTAGAATATCGCTGCTGCAACAGATATACGGTAAAACGGAACGGGTGTGAGTGCCTGTGGAATTTCAAGGGAGTGGCCCAATTTTTTTTAAAAGGTGTGGCTTATATTTAGGTGCAGCTTATATTCGGGGCAATACGGTATACAGTGGTTCCCCGGGTTACAGATGCTTCAGGTTACAGACTCCACTAACACAGAAATAGTACCTCAGGTTAAGAACTTTGCTTCAGGATGAGAACAGAAATGCGGTGGCAGCAGGAGGCCACACTAGCTAAAGTGGTACCTCAGGTTAAGAACAGTTTCAGGTTAAGAACGGACCTCCAGAACGAATTAAGTTCTTAACCCGAGGTACCACTGTATAAAGCGATTTAATTTCTAAAACAAAGTGATTCCTTTTTTAAAAAGTCAAATCCGATACACACAGAGTGGGATAAAGAAACCTGCAGTTAAAAGGCTTGTTGAAAAAGTAAGGTCATCAATGGGTGTTGCAAAGACAACAGAAACAGCAACTGACTGATATGCAGCAAGTTCCAAAGGCAGGTGTCACAATCTTGACTGTGAAATCTAGAAGACATGTTCTCTGCCTTGCAGGCCTTTTCCCACATGGCCTGGGAGGGTGGGGCCCTGACTGACTGCAGCTACAGAAGCTGAGGCTGCTGAACTGACTCTTGTGCTGGGGTATTGCTTACAGGGGACAGGGTTTTTGGGGAGGTTGTTGCTGTTATTGATTTAATAATAATAATAATAATAATAATAATAATAATAATAATAATTATTATTATTTATTTATACCCGCCCATCTGGCTGGGTTTCCCCAGCCACTCTGGGTGGCTCCCAACTGAATATTTAAAACATGATACAAACATTAAACATATACTTTTTTGCATCTTTAGTTTAGATCCTTTTATGATTTATGTGGAAATTATTCAGTTTGGTTCTGTATTTTTTGATGTTTAACTTCTTGCGTATGACTACTTTTGTCAGGCTGTAATTACGGTATATACTTTTTCATGTTGTAAGCCGCCTTCAGCATGCATTGAACTATGGAAAGGCAGCATACATATGTATGCCGTCACACGAAAGGTCAAATTTTGCATGGAACTTGGTGAGATAGTATCTGCAAGAGGCCTTATGCTGCAGTGCAGGGTTTGGTTGAATGTTTAAGGGGTGAGGTAGTATTTTAGGTATCCTGGTCCCAAGCTGGTGACAAAAACGTCCCGGTGAGTAGGCAAGGCACAGCATTTTTTCTTACTAATCTTCTCATCCAGAAGCACAAAACATTTCTGAGGAACACCAGGAACCCATAAAATACTAGGACTATTTTCAATGGCTTTCCTATTGCACTTTCCCTCTTAAATAGTGATCTTCTTGTAGGGTTTCTTTCCAAGAAACAAACAAATAAAAGAAAGACAGGACCCCAGAAACCATTGCATTTGATTTGGCAATCTCAATCCACAAGAGAATGAGAGACAGAGCCTCATAATTCAGTTGACTCACATTTCCTGCCTATAAATGGCTCAGGCAGACGATGGGAAATGGAGAAGGACAGGATTGTGGAGGGTGGGGCTTGTCATGGGCCTGTCATTTCTTATCTGCTAGATGTAACATTGTTTAGCTCTGAGTTGATTCAGCTGATTCTGGGGAGCATACTGTAATATGTGGTCTGAAGCGTGGTTCTGATTCCCCTCGTCACCCGAACTAAATGGTATCTCTCCTGTAAAAGCGCACCTTGTCTTTTAAGCAGGTTGTACATGCCACAATATAAATCGGGTCCTCCCTTAAAGAAGGCACGTATTGTAGTGAGACCTGGAAAACCGACACCCTGTGTTGTGGGTGGGTACGACTGGTCAGCCACAACACCCGATTGGTAGGTCCCTCATAGCTGGGTACAATCTGGCCAATGGGACGCAGTCCAAATGGTTTGAGGGACCTATTTATACCCACAGCTTCCTGTTTCGGCACGTGCATTCGGAACACCCAACCACCTCTCCCTACTTTTAGGGCTTTGCGCTTGACTTTGCTATGCCGTTGTGTGTTGTCTGTCATTGGGACAGGGGCACGGCAGGAATTTTCCCTACTTGGCTGATTGGCTGTTGCCATTTGGGTTTTGCCTGCTGCGTAGCAAATTGTCACAACTTGTAAGGTTGTGGATAGGCTCTGGTTCAGGTGATAGGGATGGGAGAATGCTCTCACCATCCTTATGCGAAGGGTATTCCGTTAAAAGAATCCAGGGACTCGACGGTTTGGTCAACCCCTGAGAGGGGGTTGTGCCCATGCCTGAGTCCAGGGGGACATTTGGGTGGCGGAGATAGCCTGTTCCTGGCTTTCCGCTTATCCAGGTATTCACTCTT